ATATATATATATATATATATATATATATATGTATATACACACACACATAAATAAAATAAAGGAGATGAGTGTGCTGGGAATGGAGCAGGAAGGAAGCTGCAATATAACAAGGCAGGCAGCATTATTTTTTTTTTCAAATATTTATTTTTTAGTTGTAGTTGGACACAATACCTATATTTATTTTTATGTGGTGATTGAACCCAGGGCTTCGCAATTTCAAGGCAAGCGCCCTACCATGGAGCCCCAACACCAGCCCCAGCATTAATTTTAATGTGTGAGATTTGAACAGACTCAAACGTCATGAATTTTTAACCTGGGAGTATAGTCCTAGAACAGTCAAGCAGTTGAAACAAAGGCCCCCAGACAGGGGTGAGCCTTTTTCCTTCCAGTACTGGATTGAACCCAGGGCTTTCTACCACTGAGCTACTTTCCCTGCCCTTTTTATTTTTTTAGTTTGAGACAGGATTTCATTAACTTATAGAAGTTGTTCTTGATAGGACCCAAGTTCAAGAATAGCTGCCTCAGCCTCCTGAGTTGCTGGAATTAGAGGTGTGCCCCATGATGCCCTTCTTATTTTTTTATTTTGAGACAGTAAATTGCCCAGGCTGACCTAGAACTTATGATCTTTCTGCCTCAGCCTCCTTAGTAGCCAGGCTCTGCATTTTAAAGTCATCTTAAGTATTGGGATTCACATTTAGGCTTGCTGCCCTCTGCTGGAATTTTTTTGGAGGGGAAAACATTCCTGGGTAGATAGTTAAAACTTTAACCTTTATATAAACAGATCTTTATTCTAAACATTACTGAGTGAGGAGAGGCAGAAACTGACTTTACTTTCTAATTGAAAATTTCCAGAATTCACTAAAAACATTTTGAATTATTTATTTTTTTAGATGTTGATGGACTTTTATTTTATTCATTTATTTATATGCAGTGCTGAGAATAACCCAGCGTCTCACACATGCTAAGCAAGCACTCTACCACTGAGCCACAACCTCAGTCCCAAGATTTTGAATTATTAACAAAGAGACAGAAGACCTAGTCCAGTGCTCTGCTATTTTTAGCTCTATAATTTTGGATGGACATTTCTCCTCCTCAGACTCCACAGTGTACATGTGAAATATGGGGGGATTGGACAGATTATCTGTAAAGCCTCTTCCAACTTAACATCCTTTAAAGCTGAGACTCAGCTTCTGCAGTCCATGTGAGCTATGCAAAATGAGCAAAGGTGAAAACATGTTTCATTCAGTCAAGGGTTCTAAGAGTCACCAGTACATTATAGATTGGGATTTTTTTTTTTTTTTAAAGAGAGGAGAGGAAGAGAGAGAGAGAATTTATTTATTTATTTTAGTTCTCTGTGGACACAACATCTTTGTTTGTATGTGGTGCTGAGGATCGAACCCGGGCCGCACGCATGCCAGGCGAACGCGCTACGGCTTGAGCCACATCCCCAGCCCATCAATTTATAACAAAATATTATCTACTCCAATAATGCCTTGGTAGAATCTTCAAAAGTAAGTTTTTTGTTTTGTTCTGTTTTGTGTATGTGCTGCTAGGGATGGAACTGAGGGCCTCAAGCAAGCTAGGCAAGTGCTCAACGCAGTTGCACAAGCCTGTAATCCCAGTGGCTCAGGAGGTTGAGGCAAGAGAATCATGAGTTCAAAGCCAGCCTCAGCAAAAGTGAGGTGCTAAGAAACTCAGTGAAATCCTGTCTCTAAATAAAATACAAAATAGTGCTGGGGATGTGGCTTAATGATTGAGTGCTCCTGAGTGGAAGGAAGGAAGGGAGGAAGGGAGGGAGGGAGGGAGGGAGGAAGGAAGGAAGGAAAGAAGAAATTGGAGCCAAAGGCAGTGTCACATGCCTGTAATCCCAGCTACTAGGGAGGCTAAGACAGGAGGATCAGTTTAGAACTAACCTGGAAAATTTAGCAAGATCCTATCTCAAAATAAAAATACAAAGGTCTGGGGGATATAGCTCAGTGGTAGAGTGCTTCCTGGCATGCATAAGGCCTTGTGTTCAATCCCCAGTACTGAAAGGAAAAAAAATTATTTATTTCACTTTTGAGACAGGGTCTCTATGTTGCCCAGGCTGTTATCAAACTTGTGAACTCCAGTGATTCCCCAGCTTCAGCCTCCCTATATTCTGGGACTATAAGCAAGCACCTCCATGCCAGGCTAAGAAAGTTATTTGTTATTGAACAGTGGGAAATCAGATCCTGGAACTTGAAATAATTTACCTCAAACCATAATAGGTAGAACTCAGAATAAATGCCTAAAATGAGAGTTGTGTTTAGTGAGGTGGTGTACACCTGTGAATCCAGAGATTGGGCAGGCTAAGGCAGGAGGATGACAAGTCTGAAGTTGGTAAGTTTGATCCTGTCTCAAAAAATTAAAAGGGGGCTGCTGAGCTGTAGCTCAGTGGCAGAGTGCTTGCCTCTCACAGAGGCTGTGTGTGTGTGTGTGTGTGTGTGTGTGTGTGTGTGTGGTAATAGAGACTGAAACTAAGGCTTCATGCATGCTAGAAAAGCACTAGTACCAGTGAACTTCACACCTATCTATCTATCTATCTATTCACTCATTTAGGAGTGGAGGGTACTACAGATTGAACTGAGGGGCACTCAACTACTGAGCCACATCCCCAGCCCTATTTTTAAATTTTATTTAGAGATAGGGTCTTACTGAGTTGCTTAGTGCCTCACTTGTGCTGAGGTTGGCTTTGAACTTGCAATCTTCCTGACTTGCCTCCCAAACTGCTGGGATTACAGGCATGCCCCATAGCTTCCAGTTTACTTATTATTTTTATTAGAGCTTTAGAGTTACATATAGTAGTTGGATTCATCCCGACAAACTCATACATGCATGGAATTCAATTTCAGTCCCTAGCCCTTTTGAAGTTTTATTTTCTTTTGAGATAAATTGCCCAAGTGGACTCAAATTTGTAATCCCCCTGCCTCAGTCTCTGGTATGTTGGATTATACGTGTGTATCTCCTCACCCTATAGACAAAAATTTTTCTGATAGCTCCCTTCTGCCTAGGAAAGATATTTTCCATAGGAAGAAGAGACTAGGGGTCTGACAACTGACCCAGAATGAGTGGCTGTTACCTGGGTGACTTTGTTTGCATAAAAAAGGCATCCCTTACCCACTGTGCACCTTCTTTTTGAAACCTTCCATAGTCTGTCCCTTCCTTACCTCTAGAAGCCCAAGCCCTGATCCCTTTGTTTACCTCTATATAAGGTTCAGGTATCTTGTCTTTGAGTCTCATACTCTATATATGGCTTTTGTGCTTATTATATACACATTAATAAATTTGTGTACCTTTTGTACAATG